TATACAATGTATTAATTATTGAAACTGTCCTACTAATCAGATTTGAAACTGTCTCATTGCTATTTGTTTCTCAATAAAATTATTGGAAAAAAAAAAAAAGAAAAAAAAAATCACTAACCACAATTTGCTTATTTGTTCTCTGATAGATATTTGGTTGCTTCTTTCCTTTTTTTCTTTTCTTTTTTTGTGGTACTAGGTGTTGAACCCAGAGCCTTCACATTTCCAGCCTTTTCTTGAGGCAGGCTCTTGCTAAATCACCAAGTTGCCCAGACTAAGCTGGAACTCATGACCATCCTACCTCAGCCTCCCAGAGTGCTGAATTACAGACATACACCATTATTGCCTTTTGCCTTTGTCTATTATGAGTAATTGTACTATGAACATTAATGGACAATGTTGACTGGTTTTTATGTAGACATATGCTTTCTTTTTTTTAAATGAATTTAAGACAGGGTATACAGGGTGTACAGTTCTAACTACATAGATCAGACTTGTAATTCTTCTGATTTCAGCCTCCCAAGCACTGGGAATACAGGCACACGCCACCACACACAGTCTAACATATGTTTTCTATTCTCTTGCACATATACTTTGAAGAACTGCCAAATTGTGTGATAATTCAATTTTAATATTTTGAGAAGCTGCCAGACTGTTTTCTCAGAAGGCCATGACATAGTACTTTCCCCAAAACAACATTCTGAGTGTTCCAGTTCCTTCTTACTCTTGTCAGCACTTGTTATTGTCCTTAATCCTAATCTATTAAGGACTAGTGTGATATGGTGGAGCTTTTGCAACTAAGCTAAAAGGAGTGCCCTGTAACTTTTACAGATAGGATACCCTGAGCAAGGACACTCCTTGAACAGTACTGCTATACTGCCCTTTCCAACCACTTGAGGCACCTCCTTGAGTTAAGGGCAGTGCTTCCCGAAAGATGTCCCTACACCAGCAGCACCCAGATCATTAGGACCAGCCAGAAAAGTACATTTGCAGAATCTACACTGTGCCGGCTAAGCCACAGCCTGTGGCTTATAATCTGCTCAAGCTCCTAGGAGGGCCCGAGTCTCTGATATTAGCCTTGTCACTGGTTTCCAGCTTTATGACTCATTAGTTAGACCCAGTGTTCAACCATCACCCCTCACCCACACAGGTAAGGATAACAGTGCCAAAGGAAAGAACTGTTCAAACAGTTCTATCATCTGCCTCAGGGAGAAGGCCTTGACACTTTCTAGTAAAGAGAGACATTTGTTTATTAAAATTGGTCACAATTAACTGGACACAGAAAACCTAATTAAATAGGAATATCAAAGCACTACCCAAGCCCAGTGATATAATTTCTCTGCCATTTAAAAATCTTAGCCAGGCACAGTAGTGCATATAATCCCAGCATTTAGGAGGCTGAGGCAGGAGGACTGCAAGTTCAAAGCCAATGAGACTCCATCTCAAAAAACAAACACACTTCTCAGAAGTACAAATGGCCAATAAATATATGAAAAAATGTTCAACATCTATGGTCACTGAAGAAACACCAATTAAAACAACATTGAAATTAAGAAAAAGAAAGAAAGAAATTCCATCTTACTCTAGAAAAACTGCTAAGAAATCAAACAATAAATGCTGGTGAGGCTGTTGGGAAATAACTTTTCTGTACAATACACGAATGGATAAAGAAACTACAGAACACAATGAAGTACTACTCTGCTATAAAGAAGGATAAATTTGAGTGATCTGTAGGAAAATGGGTATACTTTGACACCATAATGTGAAAAAAAAAAAAAAAACAACACAAAAGTTTAAATGTATGGTTTCTCTTTTATGAGACACCCAAAGTATATGTAAAGGGAAAAATAAAAGATGCTAGGACACAAGGAGATAGATCTTTTAAAGATCAGAAGAAATCAAGAGATAGAGAGAGGGCCAGCCAGATAGCTCAATAGAATAAAGCACCTGCTTAGGCAGGCGCAGGGACTGGGATTTGATCCCCGGCCTGTGGTGCTGGTCCTGCCCCTGGGGCTCTCTGAGATGGCGACTGAGACTGGGCATGGTGGCACATGCCTATAATCCCAGTGCTTGGGAGGCTGAAAAACAGGAGGATCACTATGAGTCCGACCTACATAGTGAGACCCTATAGACCCTCTACTAAATACCTAAAAGAGAAGGATGATGGAGAAAGGGGACATAAAAAGATGTGTTATGTTCACGTACCAACTCATGAGGAATACAATAATTATGTACTGTAAACACATACTAATAAAAATAAAAACAACTTCTCTATAAATTTTTGTAAGCATATTCAAAATTCAATTATCAGGGTAGATGAAGTGTCTGTACAGTTATATTTTTATTATTTCCTTCAAATATTGGGTAGATTTTCTGTTTCTCTGCACCTTCACCAGGAAGTAAATGGCTTGAGGAAGAAAAAGTCAGGTGACATCCGCCCTGGTTTGCTCTTGCTTTGTAACTGTTCCAGGCTGCACTTAAACATGCAGGTGAATATAGAGTAAAAGCACATGGCTGAGAGCAAAACACAAGGAAACAGGAAGTCCAAGCACTCCTCCCCCATCACAGCAAGACTGCTGGGACTTCATTCAGTCCTTCAGTGCTAGCCCGCAAGTACTGCACTAGTTTTCACAGCATTTCTCTTGTCTGGGATGGCACAGCATCTCCAAGAGAATTCAAAACCTTCTGGTAAGTGTCCAGAATGTCCTGTGCAGTTGGTCTTTCCGCAGCAGTCTGGCTTTTACAGGCCTTATGAATATCAAAGAGATGGAATCGAACCATATCACTCCCCTCGACGTGCCCCAACAGGAAACTGGAGACATCTGGGATTTTCCAGATATCTATCTTCTCATCATAGGAGGGCATGAGGTCATCATGGAAAGCCGTGTGCTCCCCAAAAGGCCACAACTGCTCTGGGGCCACAAAATCCCCATGAAGCTCCCTGTGGCCACACTTCACAAATACCCCGGAGCTGTGGTTCACCAAGGGCAAGGCATCCAAGTCATTTGCTACAATGCTGAAGTTACTTGTCAGCAGGTACTGTGACAGTGTCTTGGGCAGATCATTAGAGTCACACATGACGCGTGTGCCCAGGGGGCTCTGATGCAGGTAGTTGATGATGCCAACGTAGTCCATGGCCAGCTGCAGCCTATGCTGCCATGTGTTCACATTTTGGTACTTGGAAAGATTTAGTGTTTCTTCCAGGTTGCTCAAGGAACCTAAGGGGTGATACTCAGTAAGAATAGTATTGTCCTCCTCACAGTAGCCAAGCAATGTGACGATGTGTTTACTTTGTAGAGATTTCAGCATCTGCAATCCATGGAGAAAATCGTCTTTCATCTCTGGACTGGTGAGCCGTGACAAAGCAACTTTGCGTTCTTTCCATTCTGACAGAAACACCTGAAACAAAGACAGCAAACCTAAACTTTCACCGGAAGGGAGCCAAAAAACAGCAGGTATCTCTCAAGTGGCAAGTGTGTTGCAGAAGACACAGACCTGTCCTTGCAGTTACACAGCCACCCTGAGTCTATCTGTAAAGACTCATGAACTCACACACATTCAGCAGGACAAGCACCAAGCAGGATGCAGGCAGGCTCCTGAGGCCACACTTGAAGGCTGCAACTGGGAGTTCACAACCAGCCTCACTATACAGCAAGTTCAAGGCCATCTGGCTGCACAGCAAGGCCCTGTTTCAAAAAACAAAAATTTCTGGGGCAAAAAAGACTGATTCTTGTGTGGACACTGAGAATCTACTGGAAGCTTAGCGCAGCCAGTCTTAAAGGATGATTGGGATGTACAGCATAGATGTGGATAACGGGCACCAGGCCCGGGAGAGAAGACTGCTTCTCACCCCTAAAGTAGAAGGGGGGGGGTGCACACAAGAGGAGAAAGAGACTCAAAAAGGAGATGAGAGGCCTAGCCCATTACACATAACAATGCCACTCATTCTCCTTAACATTTAAAGGTAGCACCATGAACCATACACAAGATTGTTCCTATGTAAGGAAAACATTTTTACATGTGACTTCTGTGACACTGCAGCTATAAACACAGGACCTGAAATACTACATGATCACTGGGACTGCCCATACGGCACCCGGTCGATAAGCGAGTGATTGCACACTGCTGCCTTGGAATTCTTTTCTTTCGTACTTGGGACTGAACCCAGGGCCTTCACACTGATTTATATCCCCAGCTCAGTCTTTATTTTGAGACTGGCTTTCTTGACATTGCTAAATTGCCCAGGCTGGGCTTGAACTTGCCATCTTCCAGCTTCACCCTCCTGCTCTGGGATTACAAATGTGTGCCATCACACCTAGCTGAATTTCTGCTTTATTAGACAAAACAAGTTTTCAGGAAGTACTGTAATTAAGAAAAGAACTTGGGATCCTTTGCTTAATGACAGGCTCTGAAGTCAGAAATCCCTGACTGTGCTGTGTCTGTTCTCTTTCCTCCCTCCTCTCTTCTCTCCACCCTACCAGCTCTTCTGTCAACCAGGTCTCAGGCATGGCAGGTGGGTGCCCTCCACCAAGTCATATCCCTACTTCCTAAGTTATCCTGGAAACTAATTTTTTTTTTTTCATTAATCAAAAGAATTTCACATCTAAGGCAAAAGCCTAAAAAAGATATAAATCTCTGGGAAGAATAACTTGGGGTTATTAAAGCATGAACCAGAACCTAGGAAAATGGGGAGTAGTTATTTGGTCTATAATGCATATATATGTGGGGTTACAGCAGACACAAAGTAATGTTACTGTAGCAGAAGATGCTCCCCCCAATAGATTTCAGTTTGTTAGTTGTCCAGGTAATACTTCCTGTTCCAGTTTCAGTTGCTTCTGTCTCTTACACATGCTTGGTCAACATGATGCACTGTATAAACCAAGCCCCAGCTGACAAGCCTTTCTGTGTCTGTCCTGCCTGCTTGCGTACCCCATATAAGCCCTAGGCCCCAGAGATCAGGGCCTGATATTCTGGGAATTATCATCAGTGCCCGTCGACATAAACAAATCTGCCTCCAAATCCTGGGTGTCATTTTGGTGTTTCTGCTTGCCACTGCATTACAAATAAACAGGAACTTATATAATGTTCTTCTAATTGCATGAAGTAAGATAAAATTAAATTACATACAAGGTAAAGGGAAATATACTAATATTTTAATTGCCTTTCTATGCTGAAAAGAATTATTTTTATAATTTAAATTGTTTTTGGGTTGACCGGATAGCTCAGCAGACCAAAGCGCCTGCTTAGGCAGAGCACAGTGGCCAGGGTTCAATCCCTGGCATGTCCTGCTGCCCCTGCCCCCGGGATGCGCAGAGATGGCAATTGAGACTGGGCATGGTAGCATGCACATGTAATCCCAGCAGTTGGGAGGCTGAAAAGAGGAGAATCACTATGAGTCTGATCTACAGAGTGAGATCCTATAGAGCCTGTGCTAAATACATAAAAAAATAAAAACTAAATAAACAAGAAAATAAAATATGTAATG